AAGGACATGATTATGTTGTTATTATGGCTGTGTAATATTTCATGGCATATATGTATCACATTTTCTTTATCCAGTCTACCATTGATGAACACCTAGGTGGATTCCATGTCTTTGCTATTGTGAATAGTGCTGCAATGAACATTTATGAATACATATGTCTTTTTTTGGTAGAATGATTTATTTTCTTTGGATATTTACCCAGTAGTGGGATTGCCAGATACAATGCTAGTTCTAAGTTCTTTGGGAAGTCTCCAAACTGTTTTCTATAGTGGCTGAACGGAATGACTTACATTCCCACCAACAGTGTATTAGCATTCCCTTTTCACGGCGGCCTCAGCATGTTGTTTTCTTGACTTTTTAATACTAGCCATTCTGACTGGCATGAAATGTATCTCATTGTGGTTTTGATATATTGCATATCTCTGATGATTAGTGATGATGAGCATGTTTTCACATTTGTTGGTCACTTGTATGTTTTCTTTTGAGAAGTGTTTGTTCATGTCTTTTGGCCATTTTTTAAAGACAGTTTTTTTTTACTTGTTGTTTAAGTTCTTTATAGATTCTGGATATTAGACCTTTGTCAGGTGCATAGTTTGTGATGATTTTCTCCAATTCTGTGGATTGTCTGTTTACTCCATTGATAGTTTATTTTGCTTTGCAGTAACTGTTTCTCACTTGTCAATTTTTGTTTTTGTTGCAATTGCTTTTGAGGACTTAGGCATAAATGTTTTCCCAAGGCCGATATCCAGAATAGCATTTTCTTGGTTTCCTTCTAGGATTCTTATAGTCTGAGACCTTACAGTTAAATCTTTAATCCATCTTGAGTTTCATTCTTCTGCTTATGGCTAGCCAGCTGCTCTAGTACCACTTATTGACTGGGGAGTACTTTCTCCATTGCCAATTTTCATCAACTTTGTCAAAGGCCAGATGAGTCTAGTTGTGCAGCTGTATTTCTGGATTCTCTATTCTGTTCCACTCTGTGAAAAAAATGACATTGGCAGCTTGATAGGAATAGCATTGAATTTATAGATACCTCGTGTAATACGTCCATTTTAATATTGATTCTTCAAATCCATAAGCATGGAATAATATTCCATTTGTTTCTTTCAGTGTGTAATTGACCTTTTAGAGATGTTTCACCTCCTTGGTTACATGCATTCCTAGGTAGTTATTGTGTGTGGCTATTGTAAATTGGATTGCATTCTTGATATGGCTCTCAGCTTGAATATTATTGGTGTATAGAAACGCTAATGATTTTTCTACGTTGATTTTCTATCCTGAAACTTTACTTGTTTATCCATTTTAAAGCCTTTTGGCAGTCATTAGGGTTGTCTAGGTATAGCATCATAGGGTTGTCAGCATAGAGAGACAGTTTGACAACTTCCTTTCCTATATGGATGCTTTGTATTTTTTTCTCTTGCCTGATTGTTCTGGCTTCAAAGTACTTCCCCACTTTGTTTTTACAAAATTGTTTCGGCTTTTCTAAGTCTTGCTTTCCATATAAATTCAAGAATCATCTTAATAAGTTCTCTAGAAAAAATTGCTGGAATTTTGCACTGAATTTACTGGCCCACTTAGAAATGCCATTCAATCCCAAAACATACAATATTTCTTCATTTAGATCTTAATTTCTTGACAATGTTTTGTCATTTTTAATATCTAGAGTTTGTTTTTCCTTTTCTATTATAATAGAAATTTTCCTTTCAATTATAGATTGTTCACTGCTTGCATATAAAAACAGAATTGACTTTCATATATTTTTCATTCTGCAAGATTGCTAAAGCCATTTATTAGTTCCGTAAGTTTTTGTGGAACCTATGAGAATTTTCTACCTATGAGACACTTGGTATTTTTTAACATACTTTAAATATGTCTGTTACTTATAATGTGGCTATGTCTAAGAAATATAGACAGAGAAAAGGGCATTTTAGGAGTTAGGAAAAGGAGTTTAGCGTAACTCCTTGACATCTGACTTATGTGACAAGATAAATTTCAAAGAAATGAGCATCATTTGCAATCTGTCTGCAAAACTAATTAGTTCCACTTCAGATAAGTTTGAGATACATGCAAAGAATGGCTCAAACCTGTTTTTATAACTAAAAAACATTAACACAAAACTCAACAAGTTTGGTACTATAAAAACAGCCAATGCAATTCAAAATAAAAAAGAAGTATCATATTCAGAGGAGTAATGTATGAATACTTATTTCTCAGACAACAGTAATCACATTCAAAGTCAGTATTTGCAAGATGAAGCGTAACTAGAAGAAGGAGAATAAGACAATAAAAAGCCATGCCAAATAGGAAACTAAAGTGTTTGAGTTACTGGAACCAAAACTTCATCAAAGTCTGCTATACATACAAATGCCTTGTGTCTACAGCTTTTGAGAAAAATGAAGAAAAAAGCCACAATGCTATAGTTGAATTAATTTAGAGCATGTGTGATAAAGATAATTTGAATGCTTGCTTGGCGATGTTAAAAGAAATATCCTGTATGTCTCAACACATATAGGCAGTCATGGCTACTTACCTCTTACCGGTCTATTTATGCATAAATTATTCAAAACTGAGAAGAATTACTTTTGTCTTCTAAGGACATAGTGTAATACTTATCAGTGAATATAAAAAGTGAAACTCTTGGAGAAAAGGAAAATCCAAAGTTCATGTTCCATTTTCCTGGGGTACAACGGATGATGACAGACAAAAGTTTTATTATAGTATTATTTCTTTAGAGAAAAACAGGGTACTAATTACATTTTTCCTTTACAGAAAATCTACCTATAAATCCAGGGATTGTACAAACATCCCAAACAACCTTTGGTTTTGTTGCTCTTCTGAATCCCAATGTGATTAAAATGTTCCTGAGGTTTCCCTAACTATCAACTCAGATTCTAAGTATTTAGGATGTAGTAAAGATACAATTTTGTTAAAGAGACAGCTAAAAGTAATTTTTATGGAAAAAAAATGTCTATTTATATCCCTAAAAGGCAATACAGAATTTATACCAAATCATGTGTGTGAACTGTTACATTACATTCCAAATACCAGCAGTGGAACAAATAGAAATACAGAAATGTTTTAAAAAACATGCAGCATGTTACAAAGGGGCTGTATAATAATTCACAACTTTCGTCAGCAGCCATGTTTGATTAGTATTAAGCAGCAGTAGTTTAAGCATTTTATATCATGATAGTTACATATGTGCATTTTACTGTTCCAATTATAGTTTAGTAATTTGGTTAGGGGTTTTACGTGACACTTTACGCATTATTATTTTTTCCTAAATTATTAACTATGGGAAATTGGCTTCAACATAAGGTTTTCACAGGAACTGATGGTTACTTTATGAGGGAGATGTCTGGATATATGTGTATGCATATATGTACACACACACCAATATTATATATATATATATATATATATATATATATATATATATATATATATATAAATTACTGGTTTCTCATTAGGTACCCAGTCACATCTTTTCCCTTGCCCTTTCCTAATACTGTTCCTAACATATGGGTACCACCTACAACCCATGTGGTTTTGGAGAAAGCTGACTACACTCATGGTGACAGGCCATGGTTGGAAGGAATATGTCTCACTTTTCCCAAAAAGAAATATATCTGAATATAATTAATGGTTAACAATAGATAAGCGTAACACTTGGGTATAAACTGCTGGTAGAAATAGGACATAATTCGGTGGAAGTACGCCATTTACACGAACACAAGTCCCAGTTCTTTAAGATGTATTAAAGACAAAATTGTTCTTGCTATTGGGAGAAAGGATTTGCACAATTCAAGGATGCTATGCTCTAGTTCTGTATGCACTCAGCTATTAATCATTTCTTTTCCTTTGAAAAAAAATCATTTTAATAAAATCAAAAATTTTCATTCTAAAATATAGTTTCACTATCCTTTATGAAAACAGCACTAATCCTCTGAAGGATAAATAAATTGAGACTAACTGTATGTTTTGCCTAGATATTAACAGAACACTTCATACCATAAAAAAAAATTTTTCAGAGAGAAGTCAAGAAACCTGTATTATATAATAGTTCAAACTCGTTAAAATTAACATGTACAATACACCACAATACAACTTAAGTCTTGTGGTAGGGATAGGTGAAGAAAGTGGCTCAGTTTCCTTTGTGTAGAGAAAGAAAACTTGGTCAATTCAACTTTATAACTTCTACTGGCACTTAATATCTGCAAATTCTAATTTAGGGCTCAACATGTGGCCTTGCCACTTAAAAGAGCTATCAACCTTAATAGCTAATAGCAATTATTTTATTTCAGTGTATTATATAAGGAGAAACCAAAAATGCTATAAAATTCATGTTTCTAATAAACAAAAATGTAAAGGTTTATGAACATGCATTGTTCATAATTTAATTCAAAATATTAAGAATCACCGCTTAATATTTTTACATCTGAAGTAAACCTTTTTTAAGTACAGTACCTACTGTTTCTTTTTCATACATTCATACTTGCCTTGACAATTTCACATCAGTATAAATCTTATATCATTCTCTTTTTAAGTAGACAAGATTAACACTACTTATGAAATATGGACAAATATATTACCAGTCATAACCCATCCAGCTTATTAGTTTAACTCATTCAATTTCAACAAAGATCTTTACAGAGCTGAATCTAATATATAATAGAACATCACTGCCCTCTGATGGTATCACTAATATATAATTTTAAATTCAGCAAACAATCAAAAAAAACCCTTTATCATAAATGTAAAACATAGTATGTTAATTATATAAGCTACATAAAATTAAATTAGAAGAAACTTAACATCTGCCTAAAAATATTCATTACTTAGTAAGTTATAAAAATTTACAGTGCTCCTTCACATCAGCCCTTCAAATGATTTTTTCAAGATTTTCCCCGATGATCAGCTTAAAGGCACTAAGTCCATAAGTTTAATCGAACATCTTCATATATAGTGAAATAAAAAGATGTAAGGCGAAGCAGCATAAATATAAGTAGTTAGATCATTTTATAAAGGATGAAAATACAATTACCAATTTTAATCTTACAGGTGTATGGAAAATTTTTACATGCAATGTATGTATATTCACTATTTAGTTCTATTTTTTTAACTACTAAGAAAAATAGCAAATCACCTACTGTACTAACTGCAGAAGAGCGAATGTAGGAAAACTAGTATTTAATGAAAAGTCTAGCCATTTTCTAAGCTTGAAAATCAAAAGTTTTTTAGCATTGCACTTAAGGGCAATAATATTACAAAGTCTGAATCTTTATTTATTCAAAGAGAAGAAATTAAATTGAGGAAGTCCACTTGATCGCAGATAAACAGATATTGGCAGTAGACTCTTCTACTCACGTTCTGCTTTATGAAACTGTCCACTAGAAAAGACAAAAAACAGAAAAGTAAATTTTACTTAAATTTACTTATATAATATATAAAATTATATTACATAATTAATATATAATACTTAAATTATAAGAATATTTTAGTGAATAAACAGGTAAAAAGAGGAATATGGGACATAGAACTATAAAATAATTTTTGTGAATTGTAGCTATTCATAAAATTTTACATTATAGTCCAAGGCCTGAAATAAAATGATAGTTTAAAAGTATAAGGGGGCCGGGTGTGGTGGCTCAAGCCTGTAATCCCAGCACTTTGGGAGGCCGAGGTGGGTGGATCATGAGGTCAAGAGATCGAGACCATCCTGGTCAACATGGTGAAACCCTGTCTCTACTAAAAAAAATACAAAAAATTAGCTGGGCGTGGCAGCGTGTGCCTGTAATCCCAGCTACTCAGGAGGCTGAGGCAGGAGAATTGCCTGAACCCAGGAGGCGGAGGTTGCGGTGAGCCGAGATTGCGCCATTGCACTCCAGCCTGGGTAATAAGAGCGAAACTCCGTCTCAAAAAAAAAAAAAAAAAGTATAAGGAAGACAAAATATCTGGTCAGATTGGTGGGTAGTTGCAGGATAGCTCTCTCCCACCGTCTTGCCTGTAGTTTTCAAGAATAACTGTAGAATATCCTGGTAATGTAATATCCTGGGATAGCAAGTAAATGGCCAGGACAGTCCAAGCTCTGTTCTAGTCCCTCCCTAAAATCAGGATGTCCTTCAATGCCTTAGCCCAAGGAGTCATGCTGTACCTCCTCCTCTAATCCCCAGACATAAAACCCAGGCACTCATCTAAGGTTCAAGCAGGGCACACACAGATGCAATCAACCCCCGGCAGTTTTCCTTGAGACCAGCTTATGATGAATCCTAGGCTTCTATTGTCCCTTGCTGCCTATCTGTAAGTAATAAACTCACTCCACATAAAAGTTTTTGGGTTTGTTTTTGTTTTTTTGTTTGCTTGAGATAGGATCCTGCTCTATCACCCAGGCTGTGGTGAGCTGGGAATGGCTCACTGCAGCCTCAATCTCCAAGGCTCACGGCATTCTCCCACCTCAGCCTCCTGAGTAGCTAGGACCATAGGCACAGGTCACCACGCCTAATTTATTTTTATTTTTTTAGAGATAGGGTCTCACTATGTTGTTCAGGCTCATCTTTTAACTCCTGGCCTCAAGCCATCATCCCATCTCAGCCTCCCAAATCCTCCCCTCTCAGTTGAGATTACAGGTATGAGCAACTGTGCTCGGCCTCTTCAAGTAAATGTTACATGCATGGGTATTCTGCCCACTGGACTCTGAAGTTGTTAAGCACTGCACAGTGAACCTGTGATTCAGTAGCAAGATCCCAATACTCAGTAATCAGTAAAGGAACACAAAATAAACCACCACAAAACAAAAATTTTAAAATTCTAATTTAAGCCAGGGAGTCAAGAAATCGCAGAAACCATTAAATAATGGTTTGGCAACGTCTTTTCATTGCTTGAGTTGAGAAAATATTCCACCTAATGTTTTGTTTAACCAAGTCTATTAAATTTTGGTTTAGTGATAGGTTCTGAAGAGCCACTGGAATACAAAAAGAGATGTTTAACAATCTCTTGATAGTTTTTTCCAAGCACATCCAAGGAATATTATTGGGTGTTTTATATATATAGGTGTGTGTGTATATGTATATATATATATATACATAAACACATATGTATGTGTATATATACTTATATATATTCTGTGTTTAAATAAATTTTCAAAATTAAAGATTAATCCAAGTAAACTTGCTTTTCTTTATTGCATGACTTGTTAGAGGCCATAATTTTGTGCCATTTTTAATCTCTACGAAGGGGATAGCCTACAATATACAATTTAGCATTTTTAAACTTTTTTTTTTTCCCATGGAACTCTAATAGCTAAACCCCACTCTCAGAGACACTGACTGACGTGAGGTGGAGCCCAATGGTCAATCCTTTTTGAAAGCTGCCTATGAGACTCCAACATACAGCTAAGGTTGAAGTCACTGTACCCTTACTCCTGTGCTGCTATCTCCTGTACTGATAGTACTTTGCATCTTGATGCTGTCACCACATTGACTTCTTCAGATAAGGGTCTTTTTGCAGAAGACAGTGAGTATTACCCAGGCTAATTACCCTGGAAAGATGCGGTGCTGGTCAGGAGATGAATATGTGGACGGTGTGAAGACAGGGAATACAAACTAGATTTATACTATGAAGTTAGGTTAGGAAGACTCTACCTACTCTATAGGATACTTCAGGCCAGCCCACGGAACAAGCCAGACAGCAGCCCTTAAAGGGCCACATGCCAAGGGTTTTGAGGGTTAAGTACCTTCTGTCTTATATTTTTCTCTTCTGTTATCCCTGAGCCTCCCAGAATTTTGCTTTTAACTTCATGCTCTTGACATGCTGTGATTGTGTCAAGCAGAATAGAGCGTGCCCCTGGAAGCCAATGTTGTTAGTGGTAGGTGATGAGGAATATTCCAAGGGAAAATACTAACAGTGGGCAACAGGAGTGGCTAATGACAGTGAGCCACTGGAGAAAATCCTCCTGCCACTATCTAGTTTCATGGTCCTGAGGGTCATTTTTACAAAGGGAGCTTGAGAGAGTTCTTACAAGAACAGTACACAAAGAAAAACAGTAATTAAATTTAACATTGGGAATGTTTTACATTTTGAGCACTTTTGAAGGGATCATAACTAATATAAGGCCTAATTTGTTTTTTAATTTACAGATGTCAGTGTGGAAGCTTCAAGTTTAATTAAGAAAGCCTCTTTCTTTCTTATAATTTAAAAGCTGGTATTAATTTCATTAGAACTTGTGAAATAAGTGTCTTCTTAATTGTGATTAAGTGTTGATTAAAGTATCCTTTTCCTATAATAATACATGTAACTTTAACTTAAAACCTTCACCACTTCTACTTTGAAATAGTGGATTTCAACATCATTTCTAGTCCTGCAATTTAATTTTCATGTGGTGTTTTTGAGAACCCTGTATGAAGTAAACCTAGTAACACAGCACTTTATCTGAACAGAATATTGAAAGAAAGAATCTATACTTCTGATAAACAATTGACCTTGTTGTCACCCAGCTGTTCTACTTTTCACTAGATCTATTCTGTTACAGAAGTATAAAAGGCAAAATGGTCAGACTTACTTACCTTATATTGAAACTACTTTATACATTGCTAAAAATTCACCCCATAAAAAACAAACTTTATAAAAAATTTTTCATTCATTAAATATCAGATGAAGTAACTTAAAATATTAAAATACACAGACACACAGTCTTATTTTTGTGATATTTTTGAGCCAGAATCAACTGCTCAGGGTGTTTGTTGATAAGCTGCCTGCCCTATACGTTAGAAGAGTATCTACATGTAAGCATGTGTATGTGTATATGTACATGTATGTGTGTGTGTGTGTGTGTAGTTTTGAGAGTAAAAACCAATGAATCTGTTAAAAAGTACTCATAAATCATTAACAAATATAAATAATTAAAATTAAAGACATTGTCCCTTTAACAAATATATTTACTTCCATTTACTTTAAAAATGGACCAAGAATAAAATCTTAATAGATGAACCACTGTTTTCCCGAGCTTTAAAGGATTTTTAAAACAAATCTTTTAAAGTCCTGCTAGACTGTAAAGATTCCAGCATTCAGAGACTCTGCTTAACTTGTCCACCAGTTTAGCTCTGGCATCCATATCTTGGGAGGTATGTGTATGATACCCACACCTGTATACTTTCTGTGATCCCAATTAACATTTACATAACTATAGAAAAGGGAGGCAAAGGAAAGATCATATATTCCAAATCAATGGGTAAAAGAACTCAGGTCATAAAACAGAATTTATAGTGTAATCCAATTTAATAACATATGTAAATGGAGGTTAGAAATTATGTCTTTCAAAATGATACTTAATTTGGATAACTTTCACACTTCTTCAAGTTTTTCCATATTGCTTGAATTTTTGACTTACTTAAAATTAGTAGTAAGCCTAAGAGCATTAAAATATAGTGTTAAAATAAGAAACAAATTATTATTTCACTTTGGTGAAGAAAAGCCAATCAATTCCAATAAATGTTAAAATAAATTGATATTACTTCCAATATTTACTATTCATGCTTTTAAATAATTTCCAAGTATTCTGATAATGAGTGTCAGGAGAAAGTTATTCAATGGATAGCTACGTAAGTTTTTAAAATGCCCAGTTAAGTTCAACATTAAGTACATTTTAATACTTACCCTAAGTCCACCTTCTGGTGGGGGCCCAGATGTAGCAATTTGTTTTTCCATTTTTTCCTTTTTCTTTCTCTTTTCTTGCACAGATTGAACATCCAAAATTCCCCGAGATGCAGCCTTTAAGAAAATTAATAAGAAATACAGAAAGAAAACAAAAATCTGTCCAGTGTGAAAAACATTTTTTTGTCTGTTTTTGCTTTCTAGGTTTCTCTTTGCGGGTAGGGAGTTGGTTTATTTTTTGGTACCAAAGTAGGAGTATTTCTACAACAGCCTTAACATAACACATCGTTTCTTCATTGGGTATTTTGCAACTATACAAATTTTCTCCTAAACTTGCTTTACATATTATTTCACAATGCATAGCCATTTTAAAAGGATGTTACTAAAAGAACATCTATGTTTAGAGAAGATACGATAGTTTTCATATATTAAATAACATAAATATATTAATGCAATTTATATAAACATGAAAATCATTTTGAAAGCAATTATCTTTAAATGTAAATTTTTGGAATATCAAAGGCCATTTGCATTAGAGAATCTAGCTATGGACGTCTATGAAAAATAAAGTAGAAACTCAATTATTTAAGTAGGCAAAACTTACCTCTTTTTGTCTTCTCTCTGCAGCCTCTGCAAGCTTTGCTCTTTTCTCTTCCTAAGGAAAATGTGTAAAAATATATATTAAAATAATAAAAAACATTATTATGAATAAATTATACACCTATATCTCATAGGCACTGTAACAGTTTACAAAAATATTCAGTACTGGCCCTAAATGTCCCACAAAGAATGCTGCTACTCAACTTCCTGAATTTCATTCTTCTTGAATATACCTTCACATCAGCACGTTAAAATAAATACAAGGTTGCCCTATATAATCACTTATTTTTTTTTTCCTCTCTGTCTTTTAATAAAAGGGTCTACAGCTAGTCAGGGCAATAATAAAACAAATAATGTTTAAAAATCCAAGAAGGAAAATACATGGTTTGGTACTGCCTGTAAAAATGGAGTCTGAAGTAACCTAGTGTTTTCAGAAGAGGTTAATGAATAAAGTGGGCTAATCTCAGTGTGTAGGAGGGAAGGATGGGAGTAATTTCATTAGAGGTATTGTTCCATAACAGAAAACAGTGAATATTATTTTTCTAGACCATGTACTACTTATTATAAAACACTTTTCCTAGGTGCTGGGGATACAGCAGTGAAAAAATATAGATAAACGTCTCCTCCCAAATGAAACAATTTCCAATTGAGGGCACACAGACAAATGAAGTAAATGTCTGTCTGTCAGATGATATGGCAGGTAAGTAATGGGAGAATGGGTGGGTGGCATTGTGGGGAATATATTTAGCTTAGCGTGGTCAGGAAAAGCTTCCCTGATAAAGTGACATCCAAGCAGTGAGCGGTGTGGTTATTAACCGAAGATGGTACAGCATGAAGATGGGAGAAGGGTTTAACAAATCTGACACATTGTATTTTATCAACAGCCAGAACAACAAAATCAACATCACTTAAAACAACAGCAGCAACAAAGAAGCTGAACTTCCCCACATAAAATTTATACTAAATTTTTAGTAGCTATACTTTAATAACTGAAGAGTTAATGTACTTTCCTAAATATTTCATTTTCTTCAACTAATTTTTAGCTGGAGGAGAGAGAGAAACAGGTCTACGTAAGGACTACCAATGTAAAGATACTGTTAAGAGAAAGCTACAAAAAGTGTACGTGTATTGTACCACACGCCCACAGGCTACATTTGAATTTCAGATAAGCAATGAGTCATGTTTTTGTAGAACTAGATGCCTACTATTGCACGGCACAAAACGCTATTATAAATGTATTCCTTGTATAACTGAAATTAAAATTTAACTGGGTGTCCAGTATTTTTGTTAAATATGACTACCTTACAAATTGGACACTCTATACTACATAAAATATTATTTTAAAGGGATAACTTAAAAGAATGAGATAAACACTACAAAGAAATCACTAATAAAATATCCGATAAAGCTCAGGCATAAAAGCGACTGTCTGAGCACCTCCTTTTAAAGGTTGGTAGACAGGTGAAAACGCGCATCTCCTGGACAGCTCCCGGAAGAAGCAACGTCTTTTTCGCGCCTAGGTCCGTCTACCACATCTCCCAGAAGAGCCCACGCGCTGCGCCCTCTGCGTGCGCCGGCGCCCTACGAATTCCCGGGGCCGCCAGTCAGCCGAAGGGAGGAAGACGTCACAGCCGCCTTTGGACAATTGCTTTGTTACAAAAGTGCGGCTCAGCCCGTAGGCGGCGGTCTAGGTCGCACTGACAGGACCCGACGACCCTCCGGACGCGTCCACCCGTCTTCGCCACCAGGGTCCCCCCCACCCCGCGAGCTCTCGACCTGCGCCACCAGGTCCAACAGCCCCGCCCGCCCCGCAGCCCGCCGCCCGAGGACAGGTGCTCGGGGCGCGGACCGGCGGAAGCGGGGACCTGATCTACTCACAAGGTCAGGAGTGGGAGGCGCGGACTCCCCGGGACAAGGAAAACACAGCCCCATAGGGACGACCAACTGGGGGACCCCTAACGGGTCCGCCCCAGGCCAGGCGGCGCTAACTGCGCGGCACGAAGCGCGTCCCTGGTCTTCCGCGCTTGCCCCGCCCCCGCCGCCGTCCAGTGGCTCGGCTCCGCCCCTGCGGCAACGCCCCACCCCCACCCCACCCCCACGGCTCCGCCCCGCCCCGCCTTTTGGCGGCACCGCCCCGCTCTTCTCGCGACTCCATCCCGTGCCCGCAGCTCAGCTGCGCCCACCTAAGGCATTGCCCGGTCCCCCACCCACAGCTCCTCCTAGCCCCGCACCTCGAGAGCCGGGCCTGTGGCCAAAGCCTAAGTTCCGGGGAAACACCTGCTGCAGGCAGCAGTGCAGGGAAAGGATGGAAAAGTTTGCCTGTGGTTCCAAAGCTCTTCCTGCTAACCTCGCATTACCAATTACAGATGAGTGAGTGGCAGAACTCTGGATCGTTCATGCTACCTTTTTATGAGATGGGACCCTGGTGTCCTAGAAATTAAAGCCAAAATTCCAAATTAACATCAGCATCGTTTGCTGCCTTCTTAATGACAATGCCGTTCCAGTTGAGAGGGCAGAATATCAAATCCATTATTATGACTATGAATCTTGCCTCATAAATGTGGCATTAGTTGAGATTTCCACTAGTTTCTGATATTTAGGAATCATACCTCAGAAACTAATAATAAAGTTTCATCTATTGGGAAATATGTTAATGAAACTCTTCTCAAATTTTAGTAAGTATGAGAATCACCTGGGCACCTAGTTAAAATTCAGCTGCTGATTTACTAGGTATAAGGTGGAGCCTGAGGTTCGTTTCCAGGAAACCCACAGGTGATACTGAAGTTACGCATCTCCTTTACACACAATGCTTTGATTTTCTTTTTCTTTTTCTTTTTTGCATTCTATTAGTTATTTCTGCTTGTTTGAAAAGTTTCAAACATAACAAAAATGTAGGATGTATAATGATAGTATCTCAGAAACCATTCTCAGCTTTTTAATGTATATTCTTACTGGCTTTTAAATAGATAATTTAAATATAATATGCAACTATTTTGATTATAGAGTTCACTGAGTTTTAAAAAACATTAATTCATGTGATCACCACATTCAAGATATGTAAGTTTTCCATCACCTAAAAAACTTCTCTTGTACCCAGTTCCATTCAATACTCTATCCCATAACTAGATCCAGGAAGCGATTAATTTGTTTAATCTCACTGTAGTCTTTAAGTTTTACATAAATATTAATATCACTATAGTCTTTAAGTTTTACATAAATGAAATATACAATATATGTTTTGCATATATTGTCAACTGTGTGGTCAACTGCGGTCCAAAAATCTCAAATGGAAAATTCCAGAAATAATTCATAACTTATAAATTATATGCCTTCTAAGGATCTAGTGAAATCTTAGGCTGTGGTAATCCATTACACCCAGGATATTAATGATGTGAATCATCCCTTTGTCTAGCATATCCAGTGTCTAAGCTACCTGCCCATTAGTCACTTAGTGGCTATCTCAGTTGTCACTTTAACTGTTCCAGTATTATGGTGCTTGTATTCAAGTAACTCGTTTTATTTATTAATGGCCCCAAGTGCAAGAGTAGTGATGATGGCATATTGTTATATTGTTTTATTTTATTATTAGTTATTGTTGTTAATCTCTTATTGCATCTAACTTTAAACTTTATCATAGATATAGTTATCTAGGTTCTATACGTAATAGATGATATCATAGGCATCAGAGATGATACATAATAGGTATTATCTATTATGTATAGAAAAAAAAAAGTGCAGAAACAGTCACTGACCAAGATGGTCTTAATGTTTCCCATTGCCTGACTAATCTTTAGACAGGGTTCTTTCTGATCGTTGGCCTCTGACCTATTTTTAGACCATTTTCTTTAGAAAACTTGCAAATTGTAAATTTTTTCTGCTCTTTTAAGATGTAAATCTTCTGTCCTCTTATCAATACTAGAATGCAGAACCATCTTCCTCAATAACCTGGGTGCCAGCTCTTTGAAATGCAATAATTAATAAACTAGAACCTTTTCTTATCTCCTACTCTGACTTCCCTAAGCACCAATCAGCAAACACAGATGATACAACCATATTGACTAACATACAGTGCTTTTCCACTTAATGACCGCTGTGCTTAAAATCTCTCCTGCTGTTTTTTCAGTGACATTGAGCCCTCTCTTTTGCTGCCCTATTACAGTAGTCTTAAATAAAGTCTTTTGTTTCTGTTTAACTCTGTCGGATGCAAATTGTCTTCAATATTAGTTGAGTTTTTGACAATTATATGTGCCCATGTAAACACTATAAGAAAATATACAACATTTACGTTACCCTAAAAGGTTACCTTGTGACACTTTCCAAACAACCCCCATTGACCTCTTGCCCAAGATAATATTGATTTGCTTTCTGTCTCTATTAACTGGATTTTCTAGAATTTCATAGAAATTGAATTATATCATAAATTCTTTTGTCTGGCTCTGCTCTTTCTACATAAAGTTTCTGAAATTCATCAGTGATATTGTGTGTTTCTTAAGTAATATTCCATTGTTACAGGTATGCTGCATTTAAAAAGTTAATTTGCCAAGGGGCACAGTAGCTTGTGCCTAGAGGTGGAATCATTTGAGCCCAGGAGGTTGAGACCAGCCTGGGCAACATAGGGAGACCCCATCTCTACAAAAAATACAAAAATTAACTGGGTACGGTGGCGTGTGCCTGTAGTCCCAGAGACTGGGGAGGCTGAGGTAGGAGAGTTACATGAACCCAATGAAGTCAAAGCTGGAATGAATTGTGATTGCACCATTGCACTCCCACCTGGGCAACAGGGTGAGACCCCATCTCAAAACAAACAATTACAACAACCCCTCAAAACCCCAAAAAGTCAATTTACCTATCCATGGATATATGGGCCCTTTTGAGCCTTTTCAGGCCATTATGAACAAAGCTCCATGAATATTTGTGTGCAGTTATTAGTATGAAATTTTTTCATGTCTCTTGACTACCTAAAAATGGGATAACTGAATTATATTTTACATGTGTGGAAATGAGGACTAAATTATGATTTTTTTAATCTTGCCCAAATTCCTATTTAAGGGGTCTGGGGAGTCATGTTCTACAAATCATAAATTCCTATCAGATGGGTTTTAAATTAACCCTGTATATCATGATTTATGTTCCAACCTAACTCTGGCATAATATTAGGAGACAAGAAAATTAAAATACGTTACCCCAAAACATGTTTCTTTGCCGTATTTTGAAATGGCCCTGTAAAGCTTTTCTTTGTGGGGGAAAATTTTTATCTGTAAAGAATCTCTATTAACATAGCTGGATCTTTTTCTTCCAGACCCTCTCAATTCTAAAGAGATTAACTAAGATCTGTATAGGAAACATTTCCCACCTGTTGTCTCTAAGGGCAGCCATTACAAGACTTCAGAAAAACTTTGGTCCCCACAATCTTTACCTTAACCTGAACATTCCCTTTCTGTCTACCCCAGGTCTTTAGACAAACTCAGCAAATTATCCACCACAAAATGTTTAAATTTACCTATCGCCTGGAAGCTCCTGCTTTGAGTTGTTCTGAATGTCTGGACTAAACAAATGTATTTCTTAAATGTATTTTATTGATGTCTCATGCCTCTCTAACATGCATGAAACCAAGCTGCGCACAAAGGACCTTGGGTACATGTTCTGAGGGCTGTGTCATGAGCCATGATCACTCATATTTGGCTCAGAATAAATCTCTTCAAATGTTTTACAGAGTTCGACTCCTTGCATGGACAATAATATGGCGCCCAAACACGTAGGGCCTCAGAGAAGACTCAGGTTGCTGAAGGAGTATCTGGAAATCAGAGCTAATCAGTACCAGCTGGGGCCTTAGAGAAGCTTCAAGTTGCGGAAGAAGTATCTGGAAATCAGAGCTAAGGTAACAGCTGGAGCCCGTTGAAGCCTCACTGAGTTTGTGCTTCTCCTCCTTGGGAACGGGTAAGTCCTCCTGAGCTTCCTACCTCCTGTTTTGGTTGATGTTTCTTGATTTATTCTGGACTGGTTTTTCTTCTAGGAATTTGTTGTTTAAGCATCCTAGCTTGAGTTCAGAGTTGCGTTTCTTTCTTTCTTTTTTTTTTTTTTTCCAAGATGCAGTCTTACTCTGTTGCTCAGGCTGGAGTGCAATGACATGATCTGGGCTCACTGCAAACTCCGCCTCCTGGGTTCAAGTGATTCTCCTGCCTCAGCCTCCCGAGTGCCTGGGATTACAGGCGCCTGCCCCCACACCCAGCTAATTTTTTGTATATTTGGTAATAATGGGGTTTCACCATGTTGGCCAGGCTGGTCTCGAGCTCCCGACCTTGTGATCTGCCTGCCTCTGCCTACCAAAGTGTCGGGATTACAGGTGTGAGCCATTGTGCCTGGCCTGGAGATCCATTTCTAAAGGCACTCCTCAATTGCTTTTCTCTCAGAATTAATCTTAATTTGGCTTATCTGTGCACATTTGCGTGAGGAATCGAACTGTCATTTTCATCCACAGCTCATCAGTTCCTCCTTTAAAAAAAAAATAGTAGGAAAGAAATAAAGAATATGGAGAAAACAAGGAGAATAACCCCCTTTTGAGCACTCTGTAGGTTTTATGGCACCTCTACTTTCCAGAGTTTATGTAAAACGGAGCTAGTATAGTCTTTGTGCACATTTACATTAAGGAAAGAGAGCCCGAAAGTCGACCCACAAACTATAGAGTTCCTAAGTTCTATTTCTCTATTTTCTTTTCTGCCTGCCTTAAATCTGGTGTTACTTTCATAATGAGATTTAAAAAAACAGTTTGGATCTAGCTGCTTTTTTGCAAGCCAGCGAATTTATATTCATCTCATGGCCAAAGTACTAAAGTATACCTATAGAATCTTTGTATGTGTATGTGCATGTATGTAGATACGTGTGTATATATTTGAAGGCCTTTATAAATTGTATAATTTTATTTTCAATTGGCAGTTAAATCCATTTAATTTTCCTTTGGCATACCAAACTTTTTCTCCTTGTACCTTATGATGTAAATTTTGCTGAATGATTGTCACCTGAGTTGTTTCTTTAATATGCAAATTTAGGTCTA